ACTTGACATAAATACTGTCGTGACTTTAAGTCCGGCTAATCATCACGTAGTTTATTCGTCAACTGAAACACGATTTATTCACACTTTTACTGTGCTAAACTAATGACGTTTGTTCGGTCTGATCAGTCTAGCGTCCTATTGATCCTTCGTTCGCCTAGCCCGTCCAAACTGAATCCAGAACACCAATAACAGCCTCCACTATACCAATCATTTATTTCAAACATACTTGGCTTATATACCAGCCAAACAGATCGTATCACACGATAAAATAGGAAATAACATTTATACAAGATCAGGCCAAAAAGCGGCTGTGAACATGGGAGACGGTAATCAATAAACTGGACATAACTTAAGAACAGCAAATCATATAATAATAATCTATAGGTCAAAATAAAGCTTATAATAAAAGGAATATATATATATATATATATATATATATATATATATATATATATATATATAATATTAGCCAATTACTACTTCTCAGAAGTTACTCGTAATTTAATATTTGCTAGGATATAACAAATACTTTACGTACTGTATATCATAATTTTAAATCCCTAATGAATTGTCAACCAGTTAAGAAGCTATTCGAACCAACCACTGCACTGTCAAAAGAAGCCTTCTGTATACATCTCAGAGAGACTTGGCCAAAAAAGATACCTTTGTTGTTGTGTGTGCTGCTGATGTCGACAGACATGAGTAGAATATTATCATCACTTGAAAGTGAAATGCCTGGTGGCAGAAGATTAAGAAGATCGAGAAGAAGAGAACGAGAACAGAGAACAATTGGTGTGGAGACGAAAGAACAATGAATTACGAGATGACTGATTGAAATTTTGCAAATGAACTATTTACTGTATATGTCTCAAATGTTTCCAAGAGATTCTGTAAATTCATGTTCAAATCCACTTAGTTGTGCTTGCCTGTGTTCTTATTCACCACCATGTGAAGTGCCAAACAACCAAGTCTTCTTATATTGCATTAAGAAGACCAATAGATAAGACAGAAGAGGTCCGAATTAAATGTTTTAGGTTGGATTTGAAGATCATTATCTTAATCGAAAACTAGTTATCTTTTGACATCATGGGTATTAGAGGGAGGATGTCAGGTGTTATTCTTTGTAGACGTAACGAAGAACAAAACCAAGGGGTGGGTGGAAGTTTACTTACATCAGGGTCATGGATCTTAATAGTTACGGTCCGTCTGAGCTACAGGACTTCATGTGGTACCACTTCGTCTCAAAATACACCAAATATACAATCAAAGAATGTACGGTTTTCCTGCAAGTGAGAACGCACAAAGGAGAGATAATCCATGTGTCATAAGACAGGAGAGGGACAGAGAGCCATGAAAACTAAATTATATAACATCGCTTGATCCATGATTCCGATAAAGTCGAGAAAACTTTCGTCCATGTGATCGTCCCTCGATACGTTTCATGACCTCAGAAACTCCTAGACCTATCAATCGACGAGTATTGGACTGTTGAAGAGACCGTTACTCACGAGGTTGTTTCGAAAAATAGCTCATAGGTTTCTGTATTATCTAGGCAAGTAAATGCTCCAGGTAAATCGAGGAATAGGACTACTGCTTCAGGGAAGGACGAGAGCCTGGAATAAATGGTGAACCTCACTAAGAGATATCGACATTAACTTGAACATTACATTAGGAAAAAGCATAATAAAGGGGTACGGAAGGGTAGGAAATATGTTCAAACAAACCTTACTGGAAATTAAAAATCGGATTAACTGCCTGTGTTAACTTATTTCACAAAAAGCACAAAAAGGTAACTTTGATCATCGCCGAACATCAAGGCTTGACGTTCATTAATTTCAAAGCCACCGAAGTCCTCAAGGACCATTTTTGTGAACACTTACGCCAGGCATTGATCAGAAAAGTTTTAACAAATGTTTTAACGGTGAAAACAGCAAGAGGTGCAACCCGGATAAATCATGGAATAAAGTTAAGAAAATTATAGAAACTGAGTCCTGGTAAGTTGCCTCGTCGCTACAGTTTCGGCTACATTGTTGTGAGAGTGACGTTACTAGATACCAGTAACAGCTATGAGAAAAACAAAGCAAGCCTATTCCTTCCTAATATTGCGCGGGAGGCCTCTTTGACACCTTCTTGGTCAGCGTAGCTAAAGCTCTCCCAATTTATGTTTTTAAGAGGTGACTCGATGATCACGGATGTACTGATGGTTTACAATCCTCCTTGCACATTGTCTAACTATACGCACTCACAGAGTACTTATTAGCCCACTTACGCTACATTTCTCCATCTTCCCATGATTATTTCTTCTTATTATTATTCGGAAATCCCTTTACCAACTCATATAGTATTATCTCCGTTTGACTCAACTATTCTTCGTTGCTGATTTAGTCAATTAGTAAATTTAGTTACCTGTTTATTTATCTGGATTTCTATCTCTGACCTGTCATTTTTTCCTCTCACTATACAATCTTAACTAATACAACAGTCCGTGAAGTGTGATACTTCATATTCTTAGCAACATCACTGCTCTAGAATGAACGCATTCATTTATCCTCTGTATATAGTAATCTGAAAACTATAGTATTCAATTGGTTTAGTACAGAAAAGTAATCAGAACACCAACACTGGACCCGTACCTTGACTCCTAGGATAAAATGCAAAGAAGTCTATTCGACAACACATTAGAGATCCCACAAGATACGACTTAAGAAACTCTTCTTCTCTTTTAGATTTAGTCTTCACGCACGGTGATGACGTTGGTCAAACGGCTTTTCTCCCACCACTTGGGAGAAGGGACCATGCAGTCATCTTATTCAAATTCATGGCTGAGATTGCTTGTCAAACAATTGCGCCGGCCCGTCCTAACATATGGAAGGCAGATATGCAGGCAATTAACTCCGCAGCATCGGCTGAGAACTGGGAAATTGACTCAAAGGCATCAGTACAAAAGGCATGGACTCTATTCAGGTGGTTATACAATCGGGTAACTCAACCATACATACCCTGGACTGTCCCAAAGAAAAAAAGCACGGACATCCCTGGATAGGGCGGGATATTCGACGCTTACTAAGACAAAAGAAGAAATGCTGGGATGTTGCGATCCGCCTTGGCACAGCAGGAACGATGGATCGCTACAGATCGATAAGAAACGAGTGTATAATGAAAATTCGGGAAGCTCAAAGAAAATATGAAATGCAGCTGGCACAATCTGCACTGAAGCAGCCCAAGGGAATATTCTCGTACATAAACTACAGAACAAGGATGAATCATTGGATTCCCAACCTAATTAAAGTAGAAAGTGAATCTGAAATGATAGAGGAAGATTAGGAAAAAGCAGAGGCTATGGCTGAATATTTTGGGGCAGTTTTCACTCAGGAACCTCCTCTAGATAAAGAATCCGACCAAAATAAAGAGTCAACAAACCACCCGCTGCTCACCGTGGACTTCGATCAAGACGATGTGCCTAAGGCTCTTAGCATCGTAAACATGGAAAAGTCAACAGGACCAGATGAACTACACCCCAAAATCTTGAGACATATTGCGGCCCCACTGACTGTGATATTCAATATGTCACTTGACCAAGGTGTGTTACCTATGGGCTGGAAGGACGCAATCGTAACTCCCATACATAAAACAGGTCCACGACAAGTTCCATCGAATTAAAGACCCGTAAGCCTCGCCAGTGTTGTAATTAAAATACTGGAAAGAATAATCAAACGGACCAAAACGGCATTTATGGAAACCAATAACTTGCTGAACATGGCACAACATGGTTTTAGAAAGGGTCTATCCTGTACAACGAACCTCCTTATAGCTAGGGAGTTCTGGATTAATGCGCTAGACAAGGGAAACTCAGTGGATGTTGTCTACATAGGTTTCAGTAAGGCTTTTGACAAGGTGCCAACTAATAGACTGCTACTGAAGTTGGAAAACCTTGGTATTGCCGGACCTCTTTTAAAATGGATTAAAGATTTCCTAGTAGGTCGTAGACAAAACGTAAGAATAAATTCAAAGTGCTCCATCTGGAGACCAGTACTTAGTGGAGTACCCTAAGGTTCCGTCCTAGGTCCTTTACTTTTTATAATGTACGTTAATGATCTTACAAGTATAGTACAGTCTCCAATGTTATTATACGCTGACGATGTAAAAATTTGGCGAGTAATAACTGGAGACAAAGATGCATTTACTCTTCAGGCGGACTTAAATAATATGATAAACTGGTCTAAAGAGTGGCTAATGCCTATCAACTCGGAAAAGTGTGTCTACATGCACTTGGGAGATTCAAAGGTTAATACGTACAACATAGGGGATGTGTCATTACCCGTAGTCCGGTCTCATAAGGATCTAGAAGTGACAGTGATTAATGATCTTAAGACGACGGCCCATTGCCAGAAGGTCGCAGCCAAGGGGTTTCGAACCCTCTGGGCTTTAAAAAGGACATTCACTAAGTTTGATACTACCATGTTCACCACAGTATACACATCCTTAGTGAGAACTAAGCTAGAGAACTGAGTTCAGGCTGCAAGCCCCTGCTTAAAAGGTGACTCGGACAAACTAGAAAAAACACAGAGGGCAGCTACGCGTGCAATTCCGGAACTCCGGGGTTCATCATACAAAGAGCGGCTTGAAAAACTGGACCTCTTTACTCTGTCCTATCGCAGACTAAGGGGAGATTTAATTTTGATGTACAGAATACTGAGAAATGATTTCGGACCTAACTTATTCTCTCTTTCTTCCCACTAGATCGTTACACCTCAGAGAACATAGCAGGCGAGTAGAAAAGCCAAGAACGAACAAAATACCCGTGGCATACAGGTTTTCACACCGAGTCATCAAATACTTGGAACCTGCTGCCTGAAGCAGTGGTGTCCGCACCTTCAATTGACTCTTTCAAGAAAAGACTGGACACTCACAGAAGCATACTAGAAAAGGAATAACATAGGCCGTAGGCCTTCTGTCCTTACTACACAAATCTGAATCTGACTGTAGTAGTTCATATGAGTCATTGATTACCGGATATTGAAAGCGAAACTCTCCATTTTCAACTTGTAGGTCGTTGTGGGTGTTCATTCTTGTCGGTTGCCTCTTGTGATAATCGATCCTAGGGGCCATAATATTTTATCACTCGTCCAAACAACGTTTATTCAGAACAGAAACTCACAAAAAATCGAAGGCATCAAGAAAATGTTGACGTGAGTAAATTGTTGTATCAATTCGATGCTAAATCGAATTTTATTTGTCTTCATTCATTCCTTAATTCACATTTATTTCGACAACCTTAAGTATATAGGTAAGGACATAGTTGCTGAAATCTGAAAGTAATTCGGCACTCGATTTTTCTGTATATAGCTATAAATCGAGCCATAGAATATCCGACACAAAAGTTTTGATAGTGAGAATAAGTGCCGGTAATATCATCGTTCTCCATTTCACTGGTCCTTTTCTTTGCACTCGATGCCGTGTTTTTTGAATTGTTTAGTAAATATTACTTTACACCTATAAAAGGAAACTTAGCCTATGCTCGTTCGATGACCGAATGGAGTGATAATAGTATCCACTCAATAGTTTTATCAGCTACTATCCACTGAGCAAGGACCTGAGAAGGAGTACCGCTTAATTAAGACACTGGCCAAGAGCATAGTCTTCTAAAATCTTTTAGTGACAATAAAATAAGCTTCAGAGTAAGTTTTCCTAACTTCAAATGCAAGTTGTTGCTGGAGGGTTAGCTCGCCTTGGTAAGGTTAAATTATAGAGCGAGTTATTCGTCCCCATTGTCTTTTCATTTGTTATGAAGGTGTCATCTTTTGATCAGGTAGGTGATTGCAAAAATCTCGACCATATAAGTTTACTGGGCATTGGTTCCTTCTGTCTCTAGTCGCAGTTGTGAAACGCATTGTGGGAGGTTAGAAACATGGATAGGTTGCTGGGACTTGTCCTTAGATTCCCTTGTTGCGTTATTTGCTTATGGTGGAACTAATCGGTCAGTGGTGCTAAGTTTGAGCTAGGGTACTAGGTAAAGATGGTAAGTTAATTGGTGGGGCCGGAGTTTCTTCTTAAATGTGGTGGTAAGGCATATGTGGTAACTTGGGCAATGCATTTTTATGTAATATCCTTAGTTTGTGCTCGACTAATTAGTAATGTGTCTACCTAATCAAACTGGTGATGTAATCATCTTTTTCTGTACTTTCTTCACGTTTATACCGAAAGGTCTATTGCTAATTTTCTGTACGAACAATTGAATATCGGTAAAACCTAAGCAAATCATAAAATTTAGTGTCTACAAGTTCAAATTTTGAGCAAATTACCACTTCATTTTCGTAACATTCTGTAATTTGAGTTTCTCCTCACCACTACTTAGTTCGTAATCATTTTCAAGCGTGACTTGGTTTTGCTATAATCTGGGGGATTCTGTTTGACCATTCAGTCAATCTGTCTACGATAACGAGTGTTTTAAACGTAAAATTAGATTAGTATACATTACAGCACTACTAAATAATTGAGAATGTCGGTCGTAAGACAGGTAGGGTGTGGCACATACTGAAGTTGCCATAACACACCGACAATGCAAAATTTATGAAGACGAATATCAGAGTAGTAGAAATTTTAGTGGTATCAGTGATGATTAAAAGCTTGGACAGAGATAATTCTAGAAGAATAAACTTGAGAAAAATGATGTATAAAATAATTTAGAAACTAAGTCTGTGCGTAGACAAGTAGTAAATTCATCTCCTCCATTGCCTAATTTTGATCAGTTGTGTTCGCGTGCATGTTATAGACGTGGTTGCAATGTGATTCAGTGATCCGCGAAATATCAAGATATTCAGAACTTTCAACTCAGTGGCTGTAATGGAGTACTCAGAGTGCTGAGTTGCAGATCAAAATAGTAATCAGACTTTTTCTTATAGGGTCCACTTAATCAAGTGTAGTCACTCTATTATTTATTTATTTGAACACATAAACATTGGTACAAGAGGGCACCAAATATATATGCGCCACACGTGGTCACCCTAAGTGTAAACCCTTTTGAATTTAGTATTTGATGTCCATGGTACACATTAAAATTCGTTTTATCCAATAGTTCATGTGGGTTTATGTTTGTGTGTATTACTTTCTCATTTTACCTTATTCAGATCAGCTTTGGCCTGTCAGTCATTGCCACACTACTCTGATTTTGATACAACTTCAGAGAGTGGTCTTTCTGATTTATCATACGTTCTTCCTTATCGTCCGAAGAAATCTTTAACCAGGAATAAACCTGTGAAAGCTAGTCCTGGTGAAATAAGGCTTGGAGCAAGGGCGATGAGAAGATACGAAAATGGTATGAAGACATTTTTTGATCGATACGGGATTCAGTGTGTTAAATATTTACCCTATATTGGTCTAGAGGATTATTCAATTCACCATTGCTTTTTGTTATGAAGCAAGCACAATTTTGCAACGTTTAAGAGTGGTATAAAGAGCCAAATTGTTTCATCCAAGCCTTTAACCCATTTGTTATACCCCTTTATACCATGAACTCAAGCTTGAAATTGTTATTTCTCGCTAGGAACTCATCATTACTTAACTAGGAAGTTGGATTCAGTGGTGAAGATTTATTAACTCTATACTATATTTTCTAAAAAGTTGGGTATGGAATTTAAGAATGGGAAGTGAATCCATATCGTGGCACTGATTCATACTGCTGTAATAAGTTTAGTTTTTTATTACTAAATCATTTCAAACTAGTATTCCATTATAATAATATACATATATAAACTGTGGTTCAGTTTTTACGCTTGCTTCGTAACAGCCTTAAAAATAGGGTTTTACAAGCTTTTCTTTATCTAAACTCTGGAAAATCTAGTCTTAATCGTTGGCAAGAGTTGTATTCTCACAATTCTAAAGAGTCCAAAGTTAGAATGAAACAGCTGTTCAGTTCCTCCTGATTTTCAGTGACTCGATATGATATGGAGCAGTGGCTCAGTGATTAGGCCGTTCAACTTCCGGCCATTAGGTCGTATATTCGAACCTCGTTCCATCTATTCCATTTTGGATAGATAGCTACTATCATACTAACCTTCATACTAATAGTATGGTTCTAAAACAATTGCACAAATGTGTACCTGGTTAGTGAGTGGATACTGACGCTTCAAGTCACGTAGTTATTTGAAATCTTCAAATCTAACAAAAGTCCACTACACTCACTAAATATTTTTTATAATAGTAATTATGTTCAAATTTCTAGTGATTTATTGCTTGTGAGGCAGGCTGACTCAGGTTACGTACGCTTTAGCCATTAATACATACATCAAGTTACTTGAACTTTTAAGAATTTGAAATCAGTATCTCTAGGTAAAAGAAACACGTTTAAAAATAAGATAAATCGTCTAAATTGACAAAATTCGATCATAGAAATTACACAATAAACTAAATTGTATGTGTGTTGTTAATCAACCGATATATTTTGTTCTCTTTTTTTTCTTTAGAAGTTTATTTAAATACATTAGCTGTAATTACTGAAACCGATGGAGATAATATTGATGATTGTTGGCCTGAAAGTTTTAATTATTGTTCAACGTTTACTAAATTACTAGAAGATGAGAAGTAGGTTTTAAACTCAAACTATCAATATTAATAATAGTTATGTTGGTGATACACTCAAATTATTACTAGTTTTCTTTTCAAAATGGAAGAGTTCAATCCATTTCAAATTGAGTTAAAGCTCATGTCCGTTACACAAGCCAGTGGCTAGCTGGATACATTAACTAAGTGAATAACTCGATGAGGTTTGAAGCAAACGGTACTTGATTCGAGTCCGGTAGTGAACACCAAATCTGGGATGCAGGTGGGTTCAGCCGAAGGGTTCCATATGGGATGAAATGCACGTCCTGGGCTCCATTGTTAGCCACATTCCATCTATTCTGTATTAACTTGTCATAATTAGCTATCTAGAGGTAATTCTCTTAAAATGCACATATGCAACTGAGACTGAACAACGGGATAAACCGACCCATTTAAAATTAAATGAACGTTATTTTATTTCCGAATTGAACATTATTGCAGATGGTGCGTTATAGATATTTGAAAGGTCTTATAGTATATAATAATTGAATAGTTCATTTAACTAAAAACACTACTAATATGTAAAGTTTTATCAACTCTAACAGTTAAGTATCTTGTATGTAATTGGTATAAATAACAAAATGTATAAAATGATACTTTTGAAGTGGTTAGTCCCGATAATTATTCTGATCATATGATAAATATATCAAAGGGTTATTTTCAGCTTGGTCCATATAATTGATTAAATTGATTGTTGTATATTGGCCACTGGGAATTTCCATGTGGATCATGGGTTAAGTGAGTTATTGGTGCATGTCTAAGTGATTTTATTGTGGATTTCATTTTATGTATCTAAAGTTATCCGTCTGTAACTGTCTATTATAAACATATCAGTGTAGTGCGACTCAACTTGTCAGATAAAAACATATGGTGAAATTATGATTTGAAATTTTCTCTTTAATATCTAGCACTCATTCACTAAATGAACAGAAAATTGGTCAAAAACGCTAGATACAACCCACTTATTGAGCATTACCAATAACCTTAGCCAATACTGTACTGAGTTTTATTGCTTAACAATTTTATATGATTAAACTGCACATTTTGAATAATTCCTGTTCATTATTCTGTTCACGTAAAATCAGTCACATGCAAAAATATGTAAGAATTATGGTCTCGTACTGAATTGGGAAATAAGTGGTACAGTATTCATTATTAGGATCAATAATTTTAATCAATTCTCGTCTACTTCACAGTTTAGTTTACATATTAGAAACTACTTTTCACTACAAATTAAGTCATTGCGGATACTCTTTAGTTGTTATGTTTCTCCCATTTTTAAACTGGGTTTATAAATTAATTGAAGGAATATGAATTACCAGTTCCTGCTTCGGTTTGGGCACCCGAGCAGTATCACAGCCCACACACAAATCAAGTGACTTGTGTGGCGCATATGTATTTGGCGCCCCTTTGTACCAATATTTATATGTTCAAATAAATAAATAAAATGAAAAATTAGCAGTTTAATGTTTTACAAAATAAAAAGTCATATTCAACTGTAGATCAGGTTTGACCTTAGATATTCCCTCCTTTGGTGGGACAGTTAGCTGAATGTTATCAATTGTGGGAAGACTTTAGTTTTAACACAGAAGCATCTTTAAATTCGCATTTTTATGACGTTATAATAGTCATAAATTGTTTCCTGGTATTTCTGTTCATCACTTGACCCAAACTTGTCAATTGGTACTATAATCACTAATTGTATTTGTTGCATTTCATAAAAGCATTCTCTTATACACCATATTATCGCTACGTAACTCTACTCATCATTCAACGACACAGTAGCCAGCAATACAAACTTGCTCTCTTCTCAAAATTATTCTATAACCTGGATATTTTGGAGGGAAGTGTATTTGATACTCCAGCCAATGATAACTACAATAGCAAACTTATGGGTGGTATTCATAGAAAGCTTATTGTGATATTATTGTTGTTTTGAGCTACAGGTATTAATTTCAAGGAGCTTAATTCTTCCACCCTTTTGCAGTTGGTTTTTTGGATTTTCCAATGATGATCAGGATTTTTATCCCTTGTTTAATTAATTCTTGTTGACTATTTGGGAAATATAACATTTTCTTTATAGAATGGTCTTAATTGCGGTACTGTTGTAAAACCTGGGAGTACTGAACACAGCTGTTTGGCCCTAGTACGAGAATCCTCAACAACTCGCATCCACGACCTCGCCACAGATCAGACTGAGGACCTGAAGTTCCCTTGGTGAACGCCCAACCATTTGGATCACTGGGTTGTGACCCTGTTATATAATTTGTGTTTCACCATAATGATTATCTAGTGCCATCGGTAAAAATTGTTCCACTTTAGATGTGCCTAAACTCGACTACTTTTAACCTCTCATTAGAAATTTAGAAACATCTTAAAGTAAGCCAATATGGAGCTGACTATTATTATTATTTACATGAAGGGTTTTTTTGATGAATACAGCCTACCAATGGAACCAATCTCTACGATATCTCCTCAACTAAAATATAGCATTTCTCAACACATTTTAATCATCAAACAATCAAATGATTCCTGTCTATTATTTTAAAATGGATACATAGAATGTTGCGTTAAATTTATGGGCAATTTAATTCCTTGTGTTTTTTAAATCCCTCCCCGTAGTATTCGAGCTGCTTGGGATGCATTTATTCAGTTATCTGAAAAAGAACAAGAGAAGCTTCTTGGTACACTTCGTGTAAAAAACAAAATAAATGATGATGAGATGGCAGATAGTGATGATTATGATATTAAAGATGATATATCATCATATTCTTCTGCTATTTACAATACCCCGTCTTCTTTATCTCATACAAAACGTCATGTGAAACATCGATGTAGACGATCTAAGCGTGAAGAGAGGAAGAAACGATTTGATGATGTGAATTCACTTCTACAATCTAATCTTAATATGTGTAAGTCTAATTCATCAGCGTTGGTTTTAAAAAGTAGTTTCCACTTGTGTTTAATGTTTTATTCATATTTTTGTGTGTGGAATCAGAACCAAGTTCTTGTGGTCTAGTTAAATTCTCGATAATTGGGTTTCATGACAATTGTAGTGTTTGGTATCACTTAGTGATTTGATGTTTCTTTTTATATATTAGCCAATTTTATGCTTGATGTCAGCTTTTCCTATGCGAATAGTTCACCAATGATGTCTACAAATGTGGCTAAGTGTCACAGTGATTAGAGAAATTGGCCTTCAACCATTTGGTCGAATTTTTAATCCCTCACACTCAAGCTTTTACGGTTTGATCAGCTAGGTAAGTATCACTATCGTGTAATCTGCGAAGAGCTGTCACTTGAACCAGCAACAACTGAGACTCAAAGAAGAAGGCAAAACCGGTGGGAGATACAGATTTTATTTACCCTCGGGAAACACGTCTTTAGTCAAAATCGTTCATATTTTCAGCTTAAAATACTACTATGTATCGAGAAGTTTTCAGCTTCTCTGAATACCAACTTCGGTTATCAGTGTAGGGTATTGAATAAATTAGGGCTTGTCTCCAGGCTGCTAGCCTATTGAGCTCACTGCATCATTGAAAGAGCGGTCACATAGATTTGAAGATAAAATTAGATTACAGTACTTATTTAACCCAGTTGGACTCAATTTCCTAAGCACCAACCAAAACTTCCATGCACCAGGCGTGTAGCTCATAACTAACTGAGTACATAAATTTGTACTTGGTAAATCAAACTACAGATGAATTTCTAAATAACCCAAGTGTTTATCTACAAAGAAGTATGCATTTTCAAAATGTTTTAGATCTGTAGAAGTTTTGTTTGATAATCTAAATCCAAGATTAAGCTATGATCATTATTATCGTGTGACATAAACTGCTAATGAATTTCTACATAGAAATGTCATAATTTTACGCGTAGCTTTATAGTTTTATGCAGACAGCTCATTAATTAAGGGGTCAAGACATGCACCACGTATGCCTAACCCCCGCCTACCTCGACCAGGAATGTTGGTGTAGGAGTGGACTGAAAGAAAACTAGGGGCGACCAAACCAAGGTGTGGTAGCAGTACATGAAATCTTTGTCATTTGGACTGAGCAGTGTTACTAGGTTGCAGTTCGTGTGATTATTGCAACCATTGGTTAGAGACTTTGGGTAACATGGCTCAGAGTCGTTCTCAGTGGCAAACATTTTATACGAATGAGTTAGTAACTCACTGATGACAATGGTGGATGTGTCGCTCACTTTCGGGGATTAGTTGAAGTTAGACATTAACACCGTTGGATGCCGGCCAGCTCAGTGGTCTAATGGGTAAGCGCGAGACTGATAGGTCATGTTGGAATTTCGCGAGGCGGGATAATGGGTGCACACCGCTGAGGAGTCCCACAGTAGGACGAAACGACCGTCCAGTGCTTCCAGGTTTTCCATGGTGATCTAGCTTCAATTGACTCATGATCTCAACTATTAAAATTACTATAATATCCACAAAACCCATTCTGATATACGAATATTCGTCAAGATTAGAACTAATAGTTTGGCAAAAATTGGGCGCCGAGTATAGATAAGTCATTATATGTGATAATTATATTTGGGATAATCTCAGCGAATGAAATTTAAATAATTCCAACGTTTCGTCCAGCAAACTTGTCTGGAGTTCTCCAGGCTAATAATCAAAATCATCAAAGAAATACACATAGTGTTATAAGCAAAGATGGGTAGTGACTAGCAGTGGAATCCAGGACGCGCGTCTCGTCCTGTTTGGGACTCGTCAGCTGGATGTACCTGCACCTCAGAGTTGATGTTCACTCCGGGACTCGAACTCAGTATCGTTCGCTTCAAACGCCACCGCGTTATCCACTTCGCTACCGAGTCCTGATAGCTACTTGCTTGTGCAATGGGTTGAAGTTTAATATCGAGGCATACGCACAGTATGCACATATGCCAATAAGAGACTGATCAATTTCAGTCCAAAAACATCAATGGGAAGATTCAAGTAAAACAATATCAAGTGAATACACATAGTGTTTAACAATTAAATCAAATTTATACTGTGCTAGTGCAATCATATTTAGATGTTGACTCTAGTAAATGGGATAAGATGAGTCAGTTAAATGAAAATCATGTGAAAAGTTCACAATGTGAAAACAAATGACTGAATGGATTGTGTGTTTATGTGTAAGATTGAGTTATTAATAGTTGATATTAGGTGTTAATATGTTTTCATATGAAGGAAAAATAAAAGTACAAGTTAGTTTGAGAAAAATTGTTTCTGAATCATTGATGTGCATTTAGAATGAGAATCATCAAATACATCATTGTGTTACTAGAATAACCTACATTAATTTCAGTCAAAATAACGATCCATGTGAAATAAACAGGTTGGATAGAGAATGGGTTCAATTATTTGTTAATGAATATTTGCCTAGTAGTTGTTAGTTGAATACCATCATTTCTGTTCAGGTTGTTCTTGTTCGCCCACATATACAGCGCTTCTGTTGTCAATCTTTCTTTATATTTTCACAGGTTGAAATCATGAGTTAGTTGAAGCTAGACCACCATTGAAAACCTGGAAGCATTGGACGGCCGTTTCGTCCCGGTATGGGACTCCTCAGCAGTGCGCATCCACGATCCCACACCACGCGGGGCTCGAACCCAGGACCTACTGGCTTCGCGCGCGAGCACTTAACCACTAGACCACTGAGCCGGCATCCAACGGTGTTAATGTCTAACTTCAACCAATCCACGAAGTTGCGACACCGTACACCATTGTCTTCAGTGAGTTGTTATCTCACAACAGACCGGTTGAACTCCACTGGTAACGGCTTCTGAGGAGTCCCATACCAGGACGAAACGGCCGTCCAGTGCTTCCAGGTTTTCAATGGTGGTCTAGCTTCAATTGACTCATAAGTTCAACCTGTGAAAATTTCTAAAACTCTCCACAAAACCCATTCTTTCTTTATATGTGTTAAAACCTTTCTGAAGTATTTTGGTCCCTTCAAAATTGATCTTGTGTCCTGTTTCCGACGCATATAACGCTATTGCCGGCCTATTCTCAAGTTTCTTTAGATCAACCAAGTTTTTGGGAATATTTTTCAAACTTTTTTTGTGTTTCTTCAATCTCACATTCAATTGTCTTAAAGTTCCTCCCACATAAGCTGCACTGTAATCATGACAGTTGATCTCATAAACAACATCTGTTATTCTTCCTTTAGGAACCTATCCTTAACTTTCACTAATGTTGATCTAATAGTGTCACAAACGTGAAAATACACTCTTATATCATGTTTGTTTAGAACCCTCTCGATTTCTTCCGATGTTTCACTACGGTATAGGATGACCACGGTGGACTTCCAATCTTTCGGTATACATTCTAGTTTAGTTTTTCTTTCATGAATAATCTTTAAAAACTCTGAGGTAATCGTTATCCCTAAGTTTAGATAATTCGACTTATTATTATGTCTTCATTCAATCAAACAATCGAGAAACGCTACTTTGTAAGTGTATTCAGGAAATCCCATTCTGAGAGGTTATGGTTTGGCTCATGCGTTTTGTACGAAAGTCACGGTTATAAAAGATTTAATCAACAGAAGTACTAATCTCATTACAGATAAGGAAGATCAACATTTGTACTCAGGTATTTTTTTATAATTTAGCCTCTATATTCGGACTGTTTTGTTCACAGTTATCATATACCTGTGTCGTAACTACAAATGCTGTAACGTTTAATTTTCATTTGTAATGGAAGTCTTTCACTAACCTGTTATTTACTAGTGTCAGATAAGTAAGTTGATATTCATCAGTATCATGCAGGATTATTTCACTAGTTGTGAATTTTATTCGCAGAGCGTAGATTTTTCAACCATTTTCTGTTTTATGCTATGTGATTAGTTGGCACCATAATCTATACAAATGATATAACGAGACTTATGTGATCTGTCGGTCGGTAAATCATTAGCAGTGGAATACCTAGGCCAATATGACCCAGGTATCTCGAGAAGTATCTTTCTACAGTTTCGGGACCGGATAGCGATGGCCATCCACACACCTCTAACAACGCTCTGGACTACTTCATGCACTATCAAATTCCTTCTTCACTAATTCATACTTCTTCCTTCCCTACCATCAACCCCTCTTCTATGGCTTACTCTTTTTCCCCTATCCGACTAGTGCTAACGATCGAGTTCAGAAAGTGCTATTCTTAATCTCCTGAAACCTCATGTTTGCTGTCTACGAAAGTCCTCTTATGTGTGGCGATTGAAGTTGAAGTAAACTTCCTGTTGTTATATGTTTCACACTAGCTAATTGAGCTACGGGCACTGTACTTTTGCGTACATTTTTTCAGTGTTTCTAACAAAAAATTTCGTACAATTTTAAATAAATGGTTTCTCAATAAATTGGGCACCGAGTATATAAAATACATCGAAAGTGAAATCTTATTGAGATCACGAGCCGATCTAAGTTAACCATCGAAAACCTGGAAACACTGGGCATATGTTCCGTCTCAATGTTGGGCTCCTCGTCAGTGTACATCCATGACCTCACTACCGGAGATTGAGGTCAGGGTTTTCAGCCTCGCGCTCGATTGCTTAGTCTCTAGATCACTGAGCTGGGATTCAGTGGTATAAAACTATAAATAACCAAAGATAATAGAAAGACATCGCGCGTTACTACTGATTGGTTGAAGTTAGACTTGTGCACCACCGGATCGTGGCCCAGAGTGACCTAGAGGTTAAGTGTTCGCACAAGGCCAAAGGTCCTAGGTTCGGCCTTCGGTGGCCATGGTGTAAACGCACACTACTGAGGAATCCCATACTAGGATGAACAAACTGTCCAGTGTTCCCAGGTTTTCAATGGTTGTTTAACTTAGATCGGTTTGTGATAATAATAAAACTCAACAATCTGAACAATCATCATGCTGATTGATAAAGAAATTATATTTGTAAAAATCTATGGCCTTGAAATTAAACAACCTAGCAATTTAGTCCAACTTTCATGACGGAAGTTATCGAAGAGAAATGAGGTCGAAAATAATTCTATTCTAATTGTTCGTCCAATCATCTTCCAATACTGACTTTGTGTACGATGTGAAAATGTGATTCATTTTATTGTGACATCTGTTTAAGATGTGCCGTGTGATGGTATGCGTATTATATGTGAAGATTTTTTTGTTAAATTTAAGCGGATAAATAACGATTCTGGATACAACCAAGGTCAAATGAAAGCTATAAGTACATTTTAATCATTCAATTTGATACTCTAAGATATTTCACAAGTATAATTTCCCACTTCATATGTTTTTCGATATTTATGCATAGATGGATGGTGGCCAGCCATGTAATTCCCGAACGTGCGTTTTTTCCTATTTGGAACTTGTCAGATGGATGTGCCCGCGCCCTAGAGTTGATGTTCACTCCGAGACTCGATCCAAACAATCAATATGTATGAATTAAAATTTACCCCGTTGCACAAGCCACTGGCTAGCTGGATTCAGTAGCTAAGTGAATAACGTAATGACGTTTCATGTGAACGGTACTGGATCTGGAGTCCGGTAGTGTACATCAACTTTGGGATGCAGCTGTATTCAGCTGAAGGGTTCCATATGGGACGAAACGCACGTCCTAGATTCCAGTGCTAGCCATCACCATTCATCTCTACTTATAATGCTTGTGACCTGAGGCAATATCGAGACAATGCTCTCAGGATGCACATATGCCAGAAGAGACTGGTCAATTGCATTCCTAGACATGAATGGAAAGTTCCAAATTACCAATGTGTATGTTTTTTCAATATGTTTAAAGAAGTAAAAGAAAACATATTTAGTGATATGTGGATGATGCAATCATCCCTTACCAAAGCGATACATACTGATCGATTAGGGACTTTTAGGCAATTCAGTGTCTACTCAACTATTAAGTTCATATGCGATTAAGAAACTGAAGGTAGAATGCATCTTGTCGATTTTCTATTGATGAAGAGAATAGATAAATTACCAAGAAAATAAGATAATACACAAATCGTTTTTAGTTTCGTGTACTCCTCTAGTAAGTCCAAATAGTAAGGAAATCACTGAAGTGACGTACTCTGCAAAATATCAATACGTAGGTTGCTCAGAACAATTCGAAGAACAGTTAACTGTAGGAAGACATTGATTTAGAATCATAACTGTAGAACCTGATGAGAATTTATTGTGAAAAGAATATTCATTGTTCACATATAAGCCTTTGTTTTGATCCATCTATATTCAAGGATACTGAGAAAAAAAAAGAAAAACTAACCATTTCACACTAAATATGAGGACTAATCATACTATCTACTCGGTTGTCCAAATCAAAGTAGATAAAGCGAGTCTTGAACCTGGGACTTAAAGGCAAATAGCTGAATACCTTAGTCACTAAGCCACTTCATAGTTCCCTGTACTTGTATCTAATAAAATTGTAGAAAATGCTTAAATGAGAGTTTAAGATGAATTTTCTAAGATTATTCAATATCAACACCATTGTCATGAAATGGCCAATACGTAATATATATGATACTATTATTTATACGCATAATGGAGAAAAAGAAAGTATTTCCGTTTAGTTGGATTGTTTTTTGTTGTTATAACTAACGAGAATGATATTTTTCATTTATTGTTGACATCACGAACTCTTCAGGAGTGCGATCCATGATCCCACTGAGGACCAAACTCAAAACCTCTCGGGTCTCTCGACCATATTTTAATCGTTTAGCCACAAGCCAAAAAGATTACCCTGGTGGGTTGTCTAATCAAGGTTTTATTCATTCAAAACTGATTACTTTAGTCAACTTTTAAAGTTTCACTCGAGTGTAATTTCATACATGTTGTGTTTTTCAGTGTTTTTTCTCCAAGTTAACACTAAATGATATCGGATATGTTAGGCAAGGTCTTAAATGATTGGAGTGCGGATGACCAATTAATTGCCTATGCAATTTAATCATGTCTGTTGCCTTATCAATAATTTACATTTAAGCACGTTATTTTGTCAAATGAATGGTTTAATGCCTATTATACCAACTATCCTACAACCAATTTCAATTATGGTTAAATTTGGTTAAGCTCTTTTATTGACTTAACAGAGAATATTATTGGAACAGTAACAATTTGTCTATTTATTTGCAGCGTTACGATCACTAGATCACATGACAGACTCTAACTAAAATGTTGATCGCTTAAATATCACTCAATGATTCATCCTTCCCCCCATGTATATATGTAATCAAATCTTATCATTAGCCTTTGCTGTGCCCTTATGCTATTTGACTACAAATTTACCTGTGTTTATTCGCACACACATATTCGCCTCTCCGCTTCAAATTCGCTTGATGTGACTGTAGCTTTGTTATCTGTGGTGTCCGCTGATAAACTGTAGTTGCCGCTTCTGTTTGCCTTCTGATTCCAAACACCCTTGAGAGTTATGTTATAGCGGTGATCGAGGTGATCGATTAACGAAGCAAAGCCATTATAGTATCTTGTATTCAATCTCTAGTCGATAATTTAGTGTCATATACAACCATCAACTTGGTCATATTTTATCATTACATATCATCTATCAATCGGTATCGGGTTTATTCATTTTAACAACTACAAACCTCGTTCACCTATCAACCACCCCCTCTGTCATACTATATTGAAAATGTAGTAGTTGTATGTTTACCGTGCTAAAGCTTGTGAATCAATTTAATCACTGCGAAAAATTGACGTTTTCAAGCGTTCAGTTTGTTATTGCTGTGTTCCAGTCATGATCCTGGTCATTTCTTTATTTTCAATGGACAGTTTGATCGTGTCCTGTTCAGAGGATATATTTTCTTTTAGCATCTATCTGCAGTAATATGATAACTTAATATTATTATCTTTATTTTTAAATACATAACTAGGTGTATCTGTTCAATCAGAAGATAATAACAATGTAACCAAAGATAATTTGCATGATTTAGAAATAGAACGGCGTATTCCTACTCGTGTATTATCGCTTGTATCAGACTCTATTCCTACAAACACGATGACGATGAACAATTTAAAACACAATCGAAAACGTTGTAAACGTCCACTTACTCCGACTGATATTTGTTTAATGCAACGAGTTGAAGTTGAGTTGAGACAGCATTTTTTCTCTCAAATTAATTCAAATAGTATTGTTGGTCGTTGGACACCATCATTATCATTGTTGTCACAATCAATGTCACCTTCAATGACTAACAACTGTACGAATAATAATAAGAATTATTATTCACATCCAGATCTATTGTGCTTGGATCCATTTCAAAGATTATTGGTTCATTCAGTTGCTAGCTATTTAGGGTTGAATTCATATAGTAAGTGTTTTCTTTAACAAATGGTAATTTAAAAAAGGTTTTGAATCATTTCTCTTACTTATTTTCTTCCTTCTGGTTATTGTTTCAGCTATTCGATCGGTCATAATCAGTGTACATAGGAGCTGAGACAAAAAGATGTGTGTTCTGGTTCCAGTTTCCACACAGACAGATCAAACGAACGAGGGGAATAGTCTAAATGATTTAAAATCGTAGTAGTATCAATGATGGTAAACATAGAGAACATGTTACTTACGGTTTGTCTTCCCCACTGAGGATTACAACTGACCAATCTCTGTTAGTGTATGTACATTCTGAGCGAATTGCCTTAATATTTCCATTTAGTCATTTGCTTTAGACGCATAGTTGTTTAAAACGAAGGCCTCTATGTTCGAGTTTGACACTGGATATCAACACTATGATGTTTTTTTCCTACGTCCAGCTAACAAGTTCCGAGTAGGACAAAATGCTACGTGTCCCAAATCCCCACTCTTAGCCATCATCAAAATTTAATAGAGAATTTAATTCGGAAAGTAAGTTTAGGTTCACTGGGTGACGGTTAGCACTTGTTAATTTACATCATCTATCAATACGGCTCAATGATGTCTATTATGTTTAATAATATCCTAAATAGCTAGTCTATAACATTATTGCTTAATGATACTACAGATACAGTTTACAAGTCTTTTTCTCATGGTTGTCAACTTTATTAAAATGTAATAATTAATACCATCTGCTAATTTGCTATTTGAAATTAGTTGGTAGGAAGTCCTAGTCAGTTTGTAGCGATAAGTCAGTGAGCAAGGGGTTCGACTATTAACCAATAAGTTCTGGGTTCAAACCTTATTCGACCAACTTCGTTCTGGGCAACTCATAGTATTACTAACCCTCAAACTTATATTATGTTTCATAACCAATTACATTTATCTTTACCTAGGTAATTATCTCAAGTTTCGGGCCCATTGTCGACATTCATTAAAAAGGTATATCTGCAATCTTGAAGGTAGTGTTGCTCTCACTGGTATTTTTCGAAACAACTTGCATGGAATCGGAGGCTGGAACTAGTTGTCTACAGATTACCTCCAACCATAATGTCCAATCACTTGGTCATATGATCTTGTTTCAACTTCGGCTGTATCGTAAAATCAACACTAAGAACTAGTCTAGACAAACATATTGGTTATAAATCAATGATCAATAAATGTAATATTAGCTTGCTGCTAATCGTAAATCTTTGAACCATACACTTAAAAATAATGATTTATGTACTGCATAACTATTAAAACCTCAGTAAGCGTAACGAGGTTGACCAACTGACGACTATCTTTATCATTAAACCTTAGCTTTAATAGGCAAATGATAAATTTGTTTAACTCTTTATGTATTCTTTGATTAGTTGTATAATGGTATTATTTTTTTGTTAAATTTATGTATACAAAATACCTTTATATGTGTTATACCATATCGTTTAAGGTACATGGTCTAATTCACTGGGTGAACGTCAATTATGGGTGGAACAAATTTTAGGTAAATATAGTCAACCACCAAAGCAACACTTTGTGACGTTAATTGAACAAAAAATCAAACAATCATCAAAATCATTGTCATTGAGTACATGATAGTGATCGCTGGTGTGTGTGTGTGTGTAAAAGATAGTTTACTTCCCTACCATTTTTAATTGTTGCGCTGTTTTCCCCTTTTCATCTAACTATTCCGTTATAAATCACGTTTATAATAATAATAATAATAATAATAGTAATAATAGCAATGATAATAAATGTGGCTGTATTTGTTTGGCTTTTCAAGAAAAAAAGTAGTGTTCTAATCAGTCATGTTCTTTCTTACTCGAATAAAAGAGCGCACGCCCAATGTTGTTGATCAAATATTGAAGAGCTACATTCTTTACTAATGGATTCATGTTATTGATTTTTCCCGTACTTCTCACCTATTTCTCTAGTTTATTCTTTGAATTACTAGTGTAAAAGGGTCTGTGGAGATTGTCGAATTTGGAAGTATACATCACGAACTGATCCCGGCTGAGTAATCATTTTAAACTAGAAAGTGCTGGATAATTGTTTCGTTATTGTTTTGGGATTCTTCAACAGTGAAGGCAGTTACCCACCAATCGAATTAGAAAATGGTCACACGATATCGCGGATTGATTGAAGGTATTCGTTGAGTTATGTTTTGCTTTTTAAGAAGTTCGAGTTCGTCATTGTCGGTTTTAAGGACAGCACAAAGTGTATATATGTGTGCATAAAGTTTTATTGTTGCTACGTTTGAAGAGATTATGATATCACCTAGAACCAGCGAAACGGAACGAATACAGCAACACAATAGCCAGACAAGCTAAGCTATTTCACTACTTCCCAGCTGTGCTAACTAGAGAGAGAAGACCAGATTTATCCCGGAGCAATATATACTCCGAAAAAAATCTGAAGCACGAACGAACAAGCACAAAACTCATGGATACATATACAGCATTAAAATGTACATCACAAAATAGCGTACTAAAAGAGTAGACGAACCAATGACATTTAAGGTCCTTCCAAGTGGGAAATGCAATCTGAAGGTAAAAGTGGGCCTTTTTGGTGCCAAAATGACGAATTCAAATTTCCAAAATAAAATTACAAGATTAAGACGTTTACCAAGTGACTTATAGGGATTTAACATCCCCAACAATTGTACTACATATGGATAAAAATTTCCAGTTATCACGCTTAGTCATTACACAGATCTTAACAATCAAGTCTACAATGCTTTATCGAATGGTTCAAGACTCTATAGTTAGTGACTTAGCATCTTTTCATTGTTTTCGCTACGGGTTAGTCTTCGTTAGACAAAACCATTAAAAATCAGAAAGCACTGATTTGCCTGTTTTGCTATCCCATAGAGTAAAACTAGGTAGATACCTTGAGCTCTCGTAGCGAGCGTTTAACAATTAGAACCACTAAGCTGACCTACAATAGTTTACTTGTTTAACGCTTCAATCAATTTGTGATATTATGCAACAATCTTTCAATTCCACTAATGGGTAACAACTTCACAATCAACTTGAGTAATCGATTGGTTATTTAATAAATCTTGACTACATGCAGTTGATAGTTACATACGTATTATATAATTTAGTCTATTTAACACTTCAAGATTTTTCAATGTTCATATATTATTGGGACACAGTGTGTTAGTATCAGTAAGAGTTTGTAATTTCCTTTCTTTGATATTCAGGATTTCAGTTGACCAATCTCCCTTTTCATGTGTACATTTTGAGCGAGTCGTTTAATATGGCCTTCATACCTGTTTAACAAGTTAGTGGCTATATATGGTCAGTAGCTGAGTAGATAATACAATCAATGTTTAAAGCGATAGGTACTAGTTTCGAGTCTCAACGTGAATATTAAAAATGTGATATTCAGATAAATCTAGCTGTCAAGTGTTAAATAGGAAGAAATGCCGTTTTTGATCCCACTACTAGTCATACGCTAAGTATACTAAATAGTGCATTTGATGTCCGGACAACTCATTTACGCCGTATTTGCACTATCATTTATTAATAGTAGTAAATTTCTGCATATCCTCCCGCTTCAGTCAGGGTTAAAGAAGCTTACTGATCCACATAAGTTTGGTTATAAATATCAACAAAGTACTTGTTTCGGACCATAGTATAATGATCAGTTTGGACAAGGATGTGAAGTATATTAGATGTGGATTTCTAGACTATTGACGTTAAACACGTTTGCTAGCGTTAATACTGAGAGCTGGGTAACTAACTGCTTGTGTCCATATTTTCATAGCGGTAAGTATTCAACCTGGTGTGTCACAAGGAGCTGTTTTCTCCCCTTCCCTTTTTCTACGTGATCTTCTATCTTCTACAAAGAACACTTGTTAAGTATGCGGACAATGTACGCCAGTTTCTTCCTATTTGGATCTCCTTGAAATGAAGGAACTGTTATCGCTCACTAAACTATAGTCTATTTCTAATGGTCTTGCACCAAATCCCTCTAAATATCTAGCTGTCAACTTTAACCTAAAACATACACAGCACTCAATCACGTTGTTAGATCACGTGAAATTCGCACCAATGAAGATTCGGTAGTAAAAACCATAATAGATATTATTTATCTCTGTGGAAGTTTTTCGTTTGACTTATTTTCTGAAGAGGCTAAATGTATTTAATATTTACTTTAACTATTTGTGAATTCTTGTATATTACTAGTTATTTTTTTACTGTTCCTCATTATTGGTTCCTCAATATTCAAAAAATTGTTATTCTTTAAGAAGACAGTAAAGTGTGTAATGAATCTTTTGATATCATTATGAATATGGGTGAATAGATATTTGGGATCTTTCAAACTTCTGGCAAGTGTTATCTTATCAAAATCCATTAAATGGAAATAGAAGTCCATAAGTTCTACAACACTGTGTTTATCGTATCTGCACGACGAACAGGATGTAAAAGCTGACCTAAACAAGAACGTATACTCTTGAATGTGTTTTGAAGACTCTTATCTTCTTTCATAGATATCATTTAATATTACGTAATTTTATTTACTTATCTTACCTATTTATGTATATATAAATATCTAGCATAATTATGAATTATCTTTTATTAAACAAGAAAAGATGGTTTAAATGTATCATAGGTGTTCACTTAAGATTGGTGAAAAATTGGATATTGATAGTTACGGTCAAGAATATAATTTGTATAATGTACCATTCAATTTTTTGATAGGCAATTAAACCCTGGAATAGGTTTTCAGTGAGTGAATTCGTGTGCCGCCAGAAGCATGAGAGCAGCGGTCATTTCCCAATTGTTCACACCTTAAAGTACCTGAAAATAAAACGAATTAGAAGTGGTCAAAACGCAACAATTTGAGGCCGGTCATATATGGCCTTTTTTGAGTAGTTTTAGATGAGTTAACCACTTACTTTTAAAGCCTTGTCGTCGATAATAAAAATCCATGGGGCAAAGTAAGACATGCTATTTTTAAGGTCCGTTTTCATCCCTTCCTGTTGTGGATGGGCAGTATCACTGCAGATGCTAGTTGTCTAGCAGAAAGACCTTAGGGCTATCACACTCATATTCAGCCGGAAGCACGACCTCTCTTTCACACTGTGAATTAACTCCTTATAGTCTGGTCGCCCTTTAACCAACCCGTTGGGATGGTTCCAACCAACGTAACTCAATTGAGCCATCACGTCAAAGTAGCAGCTTCAGTTGGAAAATGAATGATACGAATTATGAGGATCCGTAATCATTAAACATTGAATTATTCCTAATATGTGTCGTGTCCATCGACATATTCAATTTGCATAAACACCAGTCTAGTGACGGATTTGAAGTTAAAGCATTCGGTTTTTTCGGCGGCAAGTCACAGGATTGAGACTTTTCCGCCTAATTTAGTGTCATTAGCTTTCACTTAAATATTGTGGCTTGGAGCCTGTATATGTGAAATTTATATAATTATGATGAAGTGCCGAAACTAGAAAATTTTCATTAAACTTTTGACTTTTCAGAAATTCTTTGAATTCTAAAAAGAAGTGTAGTTAACTTACTATTTTGTTCATTAACCCTTAAGTCATTCTTTAATATATATCGTATTTGTCTAAGTCTAATGTACAACAAGTTTATTTATGTATTTGAAGAATCATGGAGCCTGAAATAAGTAACTAGAATTTACAAAACCAACTCAACTCTTTTTTGAGAACTTTTAAAGTGATATTATTATGGGAACCTGACAAATTTCAAACTTTAGATATTGATGCGAATAATGATTTTCAAACATTTCTTAAACAAACACTTTGGTTAGTAGAAAGTGTAAACTTTAAATTGATTCATGAATATTTCATTTTCATCAGCTGACAGTACATAGACTAGATAAAATCATACCCATCGATATACTTTGAATTGTATTATGTGAGAATCAATCTCGTTTATTTATGCTGACTACTACTTATTATGTGAATAATCAACATCTTGACTTTATTCGCGATGTAGAAATTTCTGTATATAGCGGGTTGGTGAAAGCAGTTCTGCTCTCTTAGTGAAAGCTGACTTGAGAATTGAGGATATTCGCTGACTCCGAGCTCGATCATGGTTATCTTCGAACTGTTGCTTATATTCAGTGATAAGAATGTGTAAGTAACGGTCTGGTTCGGCAAGGATAGTCATGATAATTCATTGATGTTACAACCTCAATACACAAACTTAGCTTGAACATGTTTCAGGAATGTCATTCCGGCGGTTTCCACACTTTATTGTTTACTAACTATGCAACTGGATGAAAAACTGAAGGGGTTAATCAATTATGAAGTGGTGCTACTGAACGAACGACAGTTTTAAGTAACTAGCATCTCTTAGTCCATTATGACTACCTGGTTATTGTTCTTGAGATTATACAACTTAATAGCTGATCTTGCCGAACATTACATTCTTCGTCTAATTAAGATAAATCGTTTTCAGCCAAAAAATTATCATAATTGTACCTTTTAATTGAAATGCCTTTTATTAAATAATATTTTTGATTATTTAATGATCATATGACCTTACCACTCACTCACCACTTTTTTCACAATATCTTCGTTCCATTTTGTATAGCGCATTCTTTAGTACCGAAATTTAATGGATTATAAATGAAGCAAAGATAATCAAAATGCTATCCAGGTTAATGAATTAATTATGTTAAAAGTTGATAACGTAATATAGTGAATTAAATTTTAAAAATTTAAATAATACCATTAAGATGGATGATAGTTAGAGGTGGGACCTAGGGCGCGCGTTTCATCCTATTTGGGACAAGATGCACATACGCGGATAAATGAC